CTATAGGGCGCGTGCACTCGCCAGACAGACAGAGAGAGACATAGAGACAGAAAGTGAGAAATCACCCCCCAGGGGGGATGGTCACGCCGCAATCCCTTCTCCTCCATTCTCCTCTCGGGATTTTGGGCATGCACGCATACGCGCCCGGCGTGAGTTTTAAGCCACCGGGTCCGGGACGCGAACCGCGGTCGACTACGTGGGAGTCCAGCGACATAGCCATTACGCTAACTGCTGGTTCTCGGCCCAATGCCCCTTTCATATTCTGACTTCTCTCACTATCATCTTAACACTTTAAACTCCCTTGCTCTTTCTCTGATCAGGCAATCCCCTTTGTAACATGGCAACACTCGTCAAATTAACTCATTTCTCCAACCTCTACCTACATTTTTAAAGCTGAATAAACTGAAGAAAAACACATTATCTTGCAAATACCACTTTCAGTTTATGATTAATAAACTCCAGGGGCTCCTTCATGCTCCTGATTATCATAAAATATATCCCTAGTCTGTTTTGACTCTTGCCTTCTAGAAAATTCAGCTTGCTTCCCTTTCCCTAGGGACCACAAACCTGAGGTCTCTGTTGACCAGTATCAGAAGACAAAAGTTTTCCACAATGGTAAAATAATCCTTTAGTGACCCTCTTCATACCTGTATAAGTTATGGGCTTCTTTTGGATTGTAAGCTATACGACCACCCTAAATACCAACCAAGAAAGGTGAAAGAACATGGTTGTCAATGTTACAAAATGCTGGTGATTCTAAGAAATACAATAACATGCTACTTAATGTAATGAAAACTTCTTGCTTTATTAATGTATTGCATTTTTACATTAATGTGACCCATTTTATGTTTCATATATTGTAAGCACACATTATAAACATTTTTACATCCCATAAGCATGTTTATAAATGTGCACACGCATAAACAGGCATACATAGACATCCTCTTGCTTTTTTTCACACTACCTGGCTAAAGCTCAGTTTTAAGTTGCCAAATGGGTAAATGTACTCCAGCACATACAAAAGCCTACACATGACAAGAAAGAACCTGACATATAGTGTCACAAATAGTGCTATGAAACTTCAGTAGTCTATGTGGTGGGAATAGTAAAAAGGTTGTGAAATAAACTGAGAAATAAAATGAACAAAATAAAGATACCACCAATCTTTTCAGACTCAGAGTAAAGGTCAAGGAACAGCTCCCTATGGAAAAGATTGAAATAACCAGGAAACACCTGACCTTTGTTGTGTATGTAGGTATATATTTGTATTTGTGCTCAGGTGTGCATGCTGAGGTGAGACAAAAGGGATGAAAGCATCCTGTGAAAGACATAAGGGATTATTAAATTTCTCCCAGAGATGCATAACATACATGAAAACTGATTAAAAATCATTTTTCAACGTCATTATCACAAAGTATTATTTTTCCCTTTCAGAGAACATGTCTCTTATTTGAAAGGATATATATAATCATGACATGAACATTCGCTAGGGAGCTACAATTCGTTAGCTAATAAACTTGGTCATATAAACTGGTATCGGTAGGTGGGTGTACCATTCAGACAGAAAGGTATCACAGTTTAAGTTAAGTTCCTTGAGGCAATGCTTTCAATGAATATATATTTGATATATGACAATATATTTTGAAGTCTTACCTTCAACTTCTCCTTTTAAATGAATATTTACAGAACCGAAGTATGGATAAGCAAGTAAAAGTGATCCAGATCCTACTAAAAAGGAGGAAAATGCAATCCATCTTACTCTGTGTCCTCTCCCTCCATAGTAGCCTACAAATATTGCTGCCAGGCAAGATGACAAATCATAACTAAATGACAATGCTAAACTCTCACTGGGTTTCAGCAGATAGTTCTTCTGAACATTGCTAATGCTTAGATTAATAACATCAAACAGAATACCTAAAATGCAAAAAGAAAAAAATAAAGTAATAATATGCTTTTTAAACACAAAACAAATCACCACTATAACCACTGTGAAGCAAGACTTAAACTGATTTAAGTTTATTTTACATTACATTTCACATTGTTCTGAATGTTTAAAGCCTTTTCTAAAATTTCAAATAAACCTCAAAAAATGAGTTAAAGTACTAATAAGCTGTAACTTCTTTTAAATATTTGTTAATTGACTTTTTTAAGTTAATATATTTATTCAGTGAGAAAGAGACAGGGAGTAACAAGCACTTACAGCAGGATCTTCATGCCCTGACCCACCCCAGTCTCAGCCAGTCCAGAGTTTCTAAAAAAATACTAGCATCTTTGCATATCAGAAGGCAAAACCTGAGGTCTGCATGTGTCATGGTGGTTAAGGGTGCGGGATTCCCACATGCTGACCACGGTTCAAGTCCCGGACCCAGTGGCTTGCTTTCGCTCCCCTTCCACACACACACTCTGTCCCTCTCTGGTCAAATTAAAATAAATAAAGATAAATAAAATAATTTTTAAAAAAGAAGGCAAACCCTTCCTATTTATAACAGAAGTCCAGAATAACAGGTTATCGAGATTAGCAGTTTCATCTGTTTCTAATCAGATGCCTCATTCCAAGTCTCAGGACAATTCATTCCAAGTCAATACTCATGAAAACCCTGACAAGATTCTGAATACAGCCTTAATTTAAATTCATGAACCCATACATAAAAAATTTGTTCTTGATTTACAAAAATATCACCTGTATTTCTAAAAGAAACGAGATCTTACTTTAGTGGTTTAATGGGAGCTCTTAAGTTCTTACACTATGACTTCAATTAAGTTAACAGACCTAAGCTTGTTGCTTAATTTTTGCATTGAAAGACACTCCCCATAGCCAACTGCAGTTCAAGTCCTGGACCTATTGGCTTGTTTTCTTGCTTTTTCTCACTCTTGTGAATGTGCATGCCCTGTGGCAAATTAAAGAGTGATAATAATAATAAAGAAAAGAAATAAATAATTCTTAAGGGGAAAAGCAAAACTTCCAAAGAATCCATTCTTTGGTCAGCCAGTGGCATGATAGCTAAGATGGTTATATCCTATGTGGCCAACTGTGTTGTTCTAGTCCCAGACCTAGTAACCTGAAATACATGTCAGGTATATGTGCATGCATGCTCCAAATCCTGACCGGATGGGGAAATGTAAGAGAAGAGATTGTGGCCTGACAATCCCCCATGGTGTATTTTCTCACTTTCCCTCTTTCAATCTGTCTCTATCCGGGAAGTCTACAAGCTCTCTAGGAAAAATTTAAAAAGAAAGAATTCATTCAACACCAGAGTTTTTATTGTCATCATTACAGTCAGAAGGCCAGACTCCCAGAATACATGTTTTGGTTGGTACTATATCCCACTCAAGCACAGGTAATGCCTTGATTAAATATGATGCCACTACAGGCCAAGAACTACTACCATCTCATCTTCCATTGACAAGGAGTTCAGCACCTCGCTCAATGCTAACGGTGTGAGGAAACCAATCATAAAGCCCCACTTTTATAAGTGTATTTTCTGGTACCATTCCTGATACCACAAATTTCATATTGGTTTAAAATCAATGAGGAGATAGAAACCACACAGCATTTTGAACAAGAAAATTTTGTAGGAAGAGTTATTGGCCCAGGCACGGTGGCACAGTGTTCGTGCAATATTCTGTGATGACGGAAGTCATGTGGAAGATCAGGGCTCAGTTTCTGATTTAATCTAAATGCTCCAGTTACACACATACACACATTTGTGATCCTGGCTAGCCGGTTCTTGTCTCTCTCTCTCTCTCTCCCAATAAATAAAGAAAAAAAAATTATTAACTGTAACAGGAGCTTGGAAGAAAACA